TAGGTGCATGGCCTGTGTGCTAAATACAACTGAAAGATTTGGGATTGCTTTTTTTGCATTAATTACAATAATAAAAATGTACAATCATGAGTTTCTGGCTATGTGTTTGTGTAATACGACAGAACCATTAAAACCCCAGTTGAAGGCAAACACAGCTTGGAGTGTGAGTAGAACATTAACTGAGTGCGCCTTGTCCTCGCATGAAACATAGTAACACATAATGTTGCTTCACCACAGTTTTGCACTCTTCCAAATTTCATTCTCTTGCCTTCCATGCTCCTTTTTGATCGATCGAGGCTTTCGGCAAACATATGCCTCAATTCTGTGTGGACTCTGTAAGTTGAGTAACCATAGAAACCAGCAGTTCCTCATTATCCAGGCCAGTTTCTCTAAGGAGAACTTTGTGTTTTCCATCCATCTCCATTTATTGTCTCACAGCTACAGAAAAACAAATTATGAAATGGGAAGAAAAGCCAAGTCCAGATAAGGCTGATCATTAAACTGTGGCATTGGGCTTCAAAGAGTCACAACTGATAATAAGCTGTGATAATTAACATTTAGTCAGTCATGTCATTATCCACGACTAATTAGCACATGGCTTCATCTGTGTAAAAAATAAATCGGTTGTGTAACAGTTCAGACATCAGCTCCATGGAAACAGGGAAGTTTTTCATGTTTTATTTTCAGCACATTTATTCCTTAAACTTTACTCAGAAAGCTACTGTCCTGGAACAGACTTGCAGCTAATTAGGCTTTCTTATAATTAGACTGCAGCTGGAAGGGAGTCCACTTACTGTAGTGCCACTCCACTGTTTTCACTGCTCTTAGTGCTCTGAGAAAGTGGTTTTATGAATATGTATATGCACTGAGTTCCTTGTTAATGCACCAGGAGTAAACACATCAAAGAAGCAGCATTTCCTACACATGAGCAGTGTACTGAGCAGTTTTATAGTTTGATAAAGCGAGGCAGCTTGTTTGTGTTCCAGCACAAATCAGCCATTAGTGCCTTCAAACTGCTGACGTGGTAGTTTTGTTCACCTCCAGCAGATTTTGTTAAGTTTATCATTTTGATGCTTGTGACTCCTTTAACTAAATTGAATGGCGGGGTTCCATCTATGTGACACAATGCAATTTCATTATAAAATGTTTGCCTGTGGTTCTTTCAGACCACTCCACTCATAGAGGGAAAATGTTTTAAGACATTTGATCAACTTACAAGAAAAAAATAATTAGAGAATGGGGCATCCAGTTAAGGCATGCTTACAGAGCAGAAATTAAAAAAGATATTTTACCAGAAGGTCTCAATGTGAATGAAGTATTAACGGCTCTGTACACTCTAGTGATTTATGACCTCGGCTCTGTGAACTACCTGTGGAAAAAATTATCAAAATTATATAGGATTACAACAATTGTTATATGTGTGTGTATATATATACCTGGACCATGGTTTAGACAATGAAAGTCATATTATAATCAGTGACTTGAAACTGGTGACAGAGACCAAAGTTATCAGTAAAGGATTTACTCAGGGTGTAGATTGTGGGGGAAAAGAGCTGTTATCCCATAACATGACTTCTATAAAACCAGACTTGTTTTTTTATTTTTCATAACCAAAGCAATCCAACATTGATGTGTACAATGTAGTCCAGATTAGAGGAGTAGACTATTTTTAGATGTCACACACAACTGTAAGCAAATTTAAGAGAGGAAAAGGTGCTTTGGTGTACCACACTAAACAAACACTAGAAGCAATATTGACTGTTATCAGTAGCGTCTTCTGCATGAACTAAGCTTTTATTTGAGTCTGTCAGTAGAGAGATGACAGGAAATTAAGAGATTAAAACAGGTGTGACCTACAATAAAGATGTTTGGCTGGACTCGACACCGGGCCGCTGTGGGCACCTTAATGTAGAAGGTACCAGGTTGACTATGTTATTATTAGCATGACCTCAGGCTAATACAGCTTAACTGTTTATTGGGCAGTTATAGAAATAGCATGCATCAGTGCACTCCTCCATATTTTACCAGTGCAGCCATGATTCCCCTTCCCCAAGCTTTAGCATTAATAGAATCCAGATGCCTTTGAAAAATAACTCGTGAATTCGGAGCTTTGTACTCTCTGATGAGAGTAGAATCAGTTTCAACAGCCGTTGTAAATCATACAACCTGGGTTTGTTTACCATGACAAAATGCCTAAATTACATATAACAACTGGGGCAAATGATTGTATTTGAGATACTAGGTACTTTATTAATATGTTCAATTTAAGTTTATTTTTCACATTTTATAATTGTCAACACAATGTACTGAAATAGGAAGTAGTCCCAACACACACTCATAAAGGAAATTGCTATATTTTAGTGGCTACCAATCCGTAGCACAAAAGGCTGTTGGACAGGTCGCCAGTCCATCAAAGCTCCAACAGAGTTGTTGAAAATGCTGTAACTGTTTTATGAATATCTGCATATTCACTTGTATCACTGGTTCAGTGATAAACCAAACATGGACTCAAACCCTGGATTAGGGCTGCAACACTTCCCCGTAAAGTAAGGTAGCATTGTATAGTCGGACCATCTTCTCTGTTAGAACATTAGGAGAAAAAAAAAAAAATCAGTTTTGAGAGTTTTCATGGAAAATCATTTAACCATAGACACAAACTGAAACTGGGAATAACCATTTGTGAAAAATATACATGATCAAGTTGTTTGATTAAACAGTCTTCATCCCTTAATGACTTTAATAGTTTTGTTTCTATCAGTGCACATCTTTCCCTGGAACAAGAAAAGCTAGTCAACTCATCCAACTCCCTCTGCCTGAGGCTCATCTTCCTCCCACCTCTTTATCTAAATCAAAACATTGTCCATTGTTTCCATAGAAACAGCATTATTGATGTTAATAAATGGGGTGAAAGATCGCTTATTTCTGGGCTTTCCTACATTCAAACGTTCAGTGGAAAAGTTTTATGTTGTTGGGATTTTGTGGATTATGAGTCCTGTGCCATGTGTCTGGTGCAATAACACTGTGTACATATTATATTTTCCAACATTTGTTTTATGGACTGGAGATGTGTGGGTGCAAATTAGAGAGCTTTTCTCTTTGAGAATAGTTTTGTAGGAGGTGTGCGTTTGTGTGTTAACTAGAACATCCAAGTATTCCTCAGGGGTCTGTGCTGATTTGGAGCCCTATATTCAGGCTTAACGTGTCAGTCCCTGAGCTTAAACTGTCCCTCCCCTCCCATCCTTCCACTTCATTTTCTATCTCTGGTTCTTGGTCTTTTTTTCTTCTTCTTTTTTTTCACCCTTCATTCCAAGCATCACCCTACCCCCAAAGTATGCATGAAGGAGTCACATGGATGTAATCGCATGCTTGTTATATTTTTGACATTTCCCAGTCATCCTTCTTCATTTAGCTGGCTCTTATGTAAGGCAGCTTACCTCAAACCCGGTCTACAAATAAGTCTCTATTACAGTAATAAAAAGCCTTCCACCTCCACTAGAGCTGAATCTGAACCCAAACGTACAGCTGTGCTGAAATCATTTGACTGGATGCACTTTCTACACTTTCTAGGCAGAGTTACATGTTGGAAAAGTCTTTTTAAAGTACAAAATGTTTTCCAACACCAAAAATTAAACTAAAACAAAAAAACTTGCAATTAAATATCACATGTAATTATAATTAAATATAAATATAATTCAAAGGTATCCACAAGAAAACTGGATTCTCTTATTTCCACTAGTTAAAGTTAAATGGCCAGCGCCATGGGGGAAACAAAACTCACTGCCGTGGCTGAATTACCACAGAGTAAATAGAGGTTTGTTGTCAAATTAGAAGCCAAAAATCCGGAAATAATGGAAAACCTTTTTGTTCAGGACTCAATTGATTTAATTTGAAAGGTTCTGGGACAAGAGCAGAGCCAGAGGACATCAGACTCTAAAAATCTGGTTTGTGGGACATTTAAAATTATTTTATTGGATATTATGTGACATTAAAAATATTATCTAGGGTTGATTTTTTTAAAACTTTTTTTTATATCATGCTAGGCCATTTATTAAAAAAATACAGAATCTGTAACTCATTCAAATTTATTTTCAGCTTGAGTTGTGTTAAATTTGTTCTCTTTTAGGTTCTCAACCTACCATTAAAGCTTAAAATGGTTTTGGATGCTTGTTAACTGGAGTCTTGACCCGTTTTGGTTTGTGGACTCTTGTTTTGAAAGTCTCAACTTAAGAGTTTGTTTTTGCCATCGCCATTCTGGTTTGTTTTATTGTTTTTTAAACTGATGTGACATGATGGGCATAGGTAGACCTGTCTGAGAAAATGAGCAGACTGCACACTTGTGTAGTAGCGACTTTTCAGTCACACTCTAGCCAAGCTCTGAAGGATTCCCTTCTTTGTAGTCTTTTCTTATTCAAAATACAGCGTACTATAAAAAATGAACATCATATTGTATTCATTAAGACTGGAAACTACTGACAATAAATCTATTAGGAAAATACTTACTGAGGTCTAGAGAAATTGCCACTAGGTAGTTGCCCTTTACTGGTCATTTCAAAGAATGCAGGTTTAATGAACTTGGACGTACCTGATGCTGCATCTATCGTTTGTATACAGTCTATGTTGTGACCTGCAAACACTTTGGGGAAAACATGCTTCTGTATGCGCATGAAGTAGGTAAATTAGGAACAGAAGTTTTTTGATTCATACACATAGCATTATGAAAAAAAATGAAACATCACATATAACACAAAGAGATATTATAGGAAGTGATGTCTCTGTAGACTTTTAACTCTTTTTTAAAAATAGTTCTAGTTACATTAATATTACACATTCACTGTTCTGTGACATTTCTAACATTTCTAAGTGGCTAAAAGCATTTAGTGGGATGTTTTTCTTTTTTTCTGCATGGCTGGTGTCAGACATAGCACAAGGCCCCTCTGTGCTTCCCCGTCTCTCTCTTTCTCTCTCTCCTACTCTACATCCTGCGTCATTTACATTTCTAACAATTATCTGATTACAGCGTTGGTGCCGAAAATGGATCAAGAGTTAAATATAGAGCATCTGGTCCTCACTATAGTTTTATGGCTCTGCTTCCCACACAACCTGCCACGCATTTACATGTTAACCTAATTACATAGCCGCTCGCTCTGCGGTCCACCCAGACAGCTAAAGTTTCCTGCCTCTTGACGTCAGACGTGCTTTTTGATTTCTGCAGAAATGTGCGCAGACACATGCATTCGCACACACACTGTATAAATTTGAGATGTTTTATCCCACATTTGGTGGGAGAAAATAGAGCTTCTTAAAACAGCAAAGACTGGTTTGAAAGTTTCTGAGTAGCTTGGAGGACAAACACAGATGAGGACAACCTCAGGAAAAGCTTTATCGGAAGCTTATACTGTCTTATATAGAGTATACACAATGAGGACTGGTGGAAGGTCAGATTCCCTGTCTGTACAAAGGCTTTTAGCCCAGAGATCAGAGGTCATCCTGTGGAGCAACAGATTTGACCTGAGGCAAAACTCATCACGTGTTCGAAGAGTTTACAACATCCTTCCCCTTCCTCTCCTATTATTTCTGAAGTATTGATGGACTTCATCGCTTTGTCTTGACTTTTAATGCTTTTTCCTAGTGTGCTGTAAGGGCCGCAATAAGAGGCCGAGTCCTGGTCCTGGAGGGATTGGAGAAAGCCGAGAGGAACGTCCTGCCTGTTCTTAACAACCTGCTGGAGAATCGAGAGATGCAGCTGGAGGATGGCCGCTTCCTCATGTCAGCGGAGCGTTATGACAAGCTGCTGCAGGTCAGAGCAGCACACTCCCCTGCACAAGTCAAACACTTCCCACGGCTAATTTCTAAACTAGAACTTACACATGGGACTAATCTTTTTAGGTAACAACACCTGAGGCATTAACTTTTTTTAACCCCTCAGCTGTAAAAGTTTGATGGGCTATTGTTGCCACGCTGGACGAATCCCTGGGCAGTGTGGGCACCCAAGTTTGTGAACATGATAATTCAAGATCAAGGCGACATAAGATTTTCAAATTGACACTTAGGTGCATTCACTAAAAATGTCAGACACGTTCAAATATTGATCATCTTAACTTCCAGGTCAAGGTGAAAATGCGATAACTCAAGAAGGATATTACCTAGGATTTTCACATTTCTAGCACAAGTTCATCTACTGGGAGCCTCAGGGGGCGCTGTTATTATTTTTTATAATGCTGGCTGTTGTTTATGGAGTCATGTCTATATGTAAATTCCCACTTAAGCAGTGAATTTCCACACTACTCCTACAGTGCTCTTGTTGTGTTTTGAGGGAAAAAAATGCTGTTGCTATAAATCCTGCTGCTGTGCGACATTCAGAGTCTGTACTGGTCACATGGAGCTTTGGAGCTGCAGCCTTTTGGATAAAAATAGCATTTAATATCAAATGTGTGAGATGAAAGGAAGTTATAGGCCATTTTTCTTACCTTGATGCATTTCAGGAGCACACCAAAGAGGAGCTGGACAGCTGGAAGATTGTCCGCGTAAGCGAGGACTTTCGGGTCATCGCGCTTGGTCTTCCTGTACCCAAGTACAAAGGCAATCCGCTGGATCCTCCTCTCCGCTCTCGCTTCCAGGCTAGAGACGTCTATTACCTACCATTCAAGGTCAATCCACAAATTTACGGATTACTTAAAAGAAAGTAATCTGCAAGCTGAAAGCTTCAATAAGATCTGAAAGCTTCAATAAGATAAGAAAGGTGTGGTTGTGGGGGAGAAAGAGACGCACCGATACAAATTTTCCTTTTATGCACTCTGATAATAAACATAACACACTTTGTACAACATACTGAAATGTTATTATACTGAAGAAAATTAGCGATAATACTAGAAGGATATATTAGTTTTGGATTTGTTCTGGAATTTAAATATTGAACTTTTGTTTTCTTTCTCTCTGGCCTCTCAGCCAACAGTGTTCTGCAGTAAATTCGTGAGACTTTAAGGATATTCAAGTCTTGTTTTCTTCTGTATATTTTCAGGACCAGTTGGAGTTGCTATACTCAGCAGGACCAAATGTCGCTGCAGAAAGGTACATTTAGGTAGATGCATACTGAAGTGCGAGTATTCTTTGTTGGTCTGTGTCTTCATGCAGTATTGTGTTGTTTCCTGTGTGTCAGAGTTTCCCAGCTGCTCTCACTAGCTACTACGCTATGCTCCCAGGAATCATCCAGCCTAGGCCTTCCTGACTTTCCTGTGGACAACCTGCTTCCTGTCCTTCATGTCCTGGTGAGACAGGAGCGAGATAGAAAAATGAAAGCCAAAAATTTAAAGGAGAATTTTTTTTTAAAGTTACTAGTGCCTGCGTGTCTTTTCTGTCCTTTTCCAGAACTCTTTCCCAATGCTATCCTGCCAGCAACTGCTCCATAGGCTTTATCCATATAACAGTATGTTGGGCAAGGACGGTCGCACTGCTGTTGAGGGTGTACTCAGTGTAAGTCAAGATGTGATGTTAAAGTGTCTGTATATGGTTTTACCTCAGGTGCATGCTTGATATAACCTGAACATCATATGGTTGATTGAAGGCATCAGTTTTGCTTTATATGCGTTCTTTCACAGCGATTTGAGCTTCTGGATGGTCATCGTCAGCCAGCACCCACCACCATTTTGAGTGTGTCCACGGCAAAAGATGTAGAAGGCCATGCAGACATCACTTTACATGTAGTGGACAAAGACATCACCTTTCAGGTACCAGCAGACTGGGTGTACACCATAGACTACATATAAAAGACAGACATAGCCAGCATGACATCGCCCACTGCTTTGTGAACTTTTATTTTGAAGCCTTGAATTTAGAGGTGTGGTAGTTGCCTTCTTGTTTATTGGACTGTAGGTTATCAGCTAACCAGCTTGGTTTGCAATTTGGGATCATTGCAAAGACACAGATACCCAATTAGTATCACGATGTTACAAATCAATGAAGGATATAATTTAATTCACTAATTAGACATAAACAAATCAAGTTGTATTTCTTCAAATAAGCATTTCAAAGATGCTCCAGAGGGACGAGCAGAACATATAAAGTCAAGCAACCTCTGTTTAGACCCCAAAAGACTGATTCTGGATGTAGCGTTTTCAGTGGGAGAAACGCTGCGTCATCATCCAAGTGACTTTTTCGGTCTCAGCTGACTGCAGGTTTCCCCAACCTTATAAACAGCACATTTGCACAAATCTAGCCCACTGAATGAACAGTGGGATGTGAGGTCAGTTCCTTGATCTGCAAATTGTCATGACCACTCATCAAAGTCCATTGATTAGTGATCATTGATTGATGGCAATGAGTACCATTCACAGAGAGTTGGGGAATGGCTGCAATCACGGCAAAGTAAGATGGGAAAAGATGTACACTTAGGCCCCCTCCTCGATTCAGAGATGGTCTTTCCCGTTTCATGTAAATGACTCCGCCAAAGATCAGTAGTCAAAGATCAGTGGTCAAAGATCAATGGTCAGCTGAGACTGAAGAAGTCACTTGGATGAGTGATGAAATGTTTCTCCCACTGAAAACGCTACGGCCAAATTGAGTATGCATCAAGACCAACTTTTAGACCTTAATACAATGAGTGAAGAAAAAAACACCCTAATTTCAAGATAGCAATTTTTTCTTCTTTTTTTAAATACCATTTTTTTAATACCATGACATAGACATACTGTATTTCTGCTGTAAAGTTGAGCATTTTGATATGTGAGTCAGTGGAGATTAGTGTCTTTGGAGCTGGCCTCAAGTGGTCATCAAAGGAACAGCAGTTTTAAATACATCCTTGTTGGTTTTATTTTTTGGTTACTGTTTGCAGTAAACATTTAAGCTAAAGTCTAGTTTGCATGCTGTGCAGATTTAACTGTCTGGCAAGGTTAGCATACATATTACGCGGTTAGCCAGCTAGCTCTGACTAACACAAATCGTACAACATTGATATGGCTTATAATTTGTTTAACTATGTGTCAGTCTTAAATTAGCCAGCCTTACGTACTTATTTCACTGTTTTTTTTTCTTAAGATACTGTGTAATTTTCTGTGCTAGCTGGAGTTGTGAGTTGGTTACAATAGTCACAGTTAGTCATTATTGATATTTATGATTAGCAGGCTCATTTACTAAGCAACTGTTAGCTAGCGTTTCTCACGTTTGACAATGTGAGAGTCACTGAAGCGTTGCATTGACGGGTTAGATTTTGCAGAAAACCCATCCTGCATTTTTCAGATAAAAGTCACTCTATTAAATTTCCATTAGTCCATTCAAACATTAACAATAAAAAGCATTTAATGTAAAAAAAAAAAAAAAATGCATAAAGCAAATCTATAGTGTAATCAATCCTAATGAGTGCAAGCATTAGGCTTCATTATGAATCAAAAAACATGCAGAGTGATTAAGTCATCCTTTTATAGAGATGCCCATTATCACGTTGCAGACCACACACGGACAGACAGGCAGACACACTGTATCAGTAGCTTGACCGAGACACTCTGTAGCTTAATGTAAATTTTGTTAAGGCAACATCTTTATCAGTCATTAATTTTTCATGTTAGATAAAAAAGCAGCAGTGTGTGTGAATGTTACTGCATAGTGTTTAGAAAAAACAGACATCCTTTCAGACTACTAAAAATAGTGGTGTGGATCATCCAGGTAAACAAATGATATCACTCTGGTTAACTCTTTGAGGCTGCACTTTCTTCATGTGTGGCAGGAACTGTGTTGGCTCCTAATATGTAGTGGTTTTTTTTTTTGCTTGTTTAACGCAGAGTTCTTAAAAAATAATGAATTTTGTTTCCAGCTGTTCGGCAGTGAATCTGTGAATCACGGGTTTGTTTACGGCAATGGTTCTTAATCCGTGGGGCACAGAGCCACTCCAGGTGATGTCTGGATGACCACGGTGGAATGACCCAAATCTGGGGGCAGCAAAACCAAAATATCGATATAAACTATCACACACATACCACTCTCACCCACTGAGGGAGTGGTATGTGTGTTTTTTCTAGTTTTTGTACTAAGTTAATAAGGGGAAACATCCTTAATATGCACACAGTGCTGGCTGCAAGCACAAAGCTCTGCACACCAGCTGTGCAAACGTGTTTGTGAGGGGCAGCCAGTCATAAGAAAGTAACCATAAAGGGAGCTAAACATATTTTTTACTTTCTTTTTTACTTTTTTATTTCTTCCCACACAGGGTAAAATGTTAGGCTTCACCAGATGCTGCTGCTGTTGTTTGCCTCCTTCATGCTTGTTTCTCCTGTTTATGAAACTTCAGGTTCCAGCAGGCGTTAAGGAGCCACGTCCACCCAAAAGCAGTCCCACCTACATTCATACACCAAGCCACTCCCAGTTGTTGGCCGAGATGATACAGTCGCACATGGTTAAGGACATATGTCTGATAGGACCTAAGGTGGCTAACACTTGATATACATACATATATACATACAATGCACATAGTGAATCTGATTTTAATAACGAATACCTTCTTTTATTTCTAGGGTTGCGGCAAGTCGGTGATTGCCAGAGAGTTTGCTGAGATGCTGGGTTACAGCATGGAGCCTGTCATGCTCTACCAGGTAAAAACGTCTGGTCTTTAAAATGTTCAAAAATATGATTTTTTCTGAAGTTTTGAGTTGTCAGCAGAGCATGAGGGGAAGTACGAATGTAACCACCAAACATTTGCGTCACAGACCCCGAATAATTTAATGCCACAGTCATATCTTTCACCATCTGTCATCCTTTTGACCTACATTGTAAAAGATTTTGCAGTATTTCTTTTTACAGATACTTCTGTGCGTCATGTATATATCTGTCTTAGTTTGCAAATTAAAGCAGTATCCCTTAGGCCAGGGGTGTCAAACTCAAATACACAGTGGGCCAAAATTCAAAACTGGAACAAAGTCGCGGGCTAACATTAATATTTATTGAAAAAAAATCTTCCTCCAGATATAAGAATGAATCTTTTCTTATGGGCTCAAATAAGTTTTGCTGGAAAACTGAATATGGAACAAGCAAAGCTTAATACTAAACAATATATATATTAGCTGTATAATACCAGTAGGCCAGCTCTAATAGTAATTTGGTATGGCTTCACGGGCCAAATGTAATTAGGCTGCGGGCCAGAGTTTGACACCTATGACTTAGGCGGTAAATATATGCTAATCTAATAATGTATTTATAATGTCAGGGAAAAATATTATTATCAGTGGCTCAGATAACTCAGATATGTCATGAAGAGGGTGTAGCACTGTTCTGTCTACCTTGGGCTCCCAGCACTACATGCGGACACAGCATTTTGTTAACAACAATTTATACTCTGGCACTGATGTCCAGATGCTTTTGCACCTTGGCACAGCCCGGCATGACCGTGCACACTCAGCATGAGATTGCTTATTCATTTAACTGTTGCGTCAGTTATTTCTCTGGAATGTGTAGGCCCCAGTGTGATACTGCCATAGAGAACCCCAACCAGTAGGGTGGAGAGGCAAGCAAATGTTGCTATGAGGGTATTTTATTAAAAGTCTTCTTAGATTTAAGTGGCCCTGTTATGCTAATTTCCAGCTTCATATTTAAAATTTTGGACTTTACTAGATCAACTTTGCATGATTGACAGGTAAATATAATGCTTATGTATTTTATTTGGAGCTGTTTTGGCCTTCTGAGATGATGGATGGTGCCCGCCCAGATCTGGACCAGGGGATCATCCCGATACCTAACCAATCAGATCCCAGAATTTTAATGGACTTGATGCTGTTCTCTGATGAAAAAGTGCTCGTGTAAATTTTTTGAGCAGTATGTATATATGAGAGAAAATAAGGAAAAGCATAAGTTGAAGTGCATGCTCAGTTGGTTAATTTATTTTGATTTTTTTATTGCTTTTAGAATTTTGAATGAGTGTACAGTGCATTTGTGCAATATGTGTGTGTGTGTGGAATGTAGTCAGCTCGGTGATAATTGTGAAGGAAGCGGGTGTGCTGCAGCTCTGTATGTATGAATGCATCATGTAGCTGCTATTCTTAGCTAGCTGAGGTCAGGGGTGACCTGTGCTGCGGGAATTGTGGAATCCTTCACCACGCAATTCATCTGGTCAACTCTGAAAACCCCATTTTTGGGAAAGCAAAGTGACATGTCAGGCTAGAGAACAGAATATAAATTGTGTCCTTCAACAAGCTGAGTGTGTGTGTGTGTGTTATGATGATCCTTCATCAGGATTGTCATAAAACATTTTGCAGAAAATCTTTTAAAGAGCATATGTATAGAATACCATCGCATCACCTTCGCATGGGCACTGTTGTGTTTGCCCTGCTGTTGATTTTTTTTTTTTTGATGACATTTAAAAAAAAAAAAAACCTGGTTCAATAGCACCAGTTTCTCTGATTTATTATTATAAGACTTTCAGGCTTTCACTCCAGCCTGGTGATGGGGAGATATAGTATTGTTATGTCCCATGTTTATCAGTGTGGCCTTACTTGTTGGAGCTCTCACTAATGCATCACTGTCTGTTCTGTTAGATGCAAATGTGAAAATAATAGACAGGACTTGAGGGGTTTATGATGCGTAGAAATGATAAATGTCACCGGATCTAGAACAAATGACACTTCCTCTGAGTCTTTTAATGTTTGAACTTGATATTGTGACAAAATGAAGCTCTCTCATACCAGCTGCTGTTACAGCTGCACCTAATTCTATTTAATTCAAGAAAGCAATGAGTAGTATGTTGCTGTGAAGCAGTTAGGATTGCAGTAATCACTGCCTAGAACAAATTTTGCAACTGCACTTGTCCTCCCTCGTCTACCCCCTGTCTTTACCATGACATGGCAGCGTGATAGTGAATATGACAGTCTTGCTTAACAGACAGCGTTATCTGTAAAGCAGAGATATTGCATTTAGCAGCTGGGCCAAACCATCTGGGAACAGAGTTAAAGGAGGGGGAAATGGAAAGCTGGTGTATTTGTCATCTTGTCTTCACAGTTACTAAACGCAATCGCAGACAGAATCACTTCTGACTATTTTTAGATCTTTTTTGCTCTGCCAACCTGCTGTACACATCTGTCTCTGCTGTTCATTTTCCATCTCCCACTTTCTTGCCTTTATCACACACCTCCCTCCATTGTGTTTGATTCCCAGGACATGACAGTCAGGGACCTTCTCCAACAGAGGTACACGCTCCCAAATGGGGACACAGCATGGAGGCCATCTCCACTGGTCACTGCTGCTATGGAGGGCAAGCTGCTGCTTCTCGACGGCATACACAGAGTCAACCTGGGAACCTTGGCTGTACTATCCAGGTGCTTTGCCTCATTTCCTGGATGTAGCTGCTGTGATATTTTCCAAATGCTCTGTTGATATTGGGTTTTTTGTTATCTGTGCCATCTGTACTCTGTGTTCTCCTTTCAGAACGCTCCACAGCAGCTAAGGTTCTGCTTTAATGTCTGTGAAGGTTCTCAGTCATCCAGGTCATCGTAG